ACAGTAAAGCAAACCCTGCGTACATACGGGAAGCATAAATGGGACCTGTAATTGCTACGATCTGACGATCGATTCAGTAACGCTTTCGCTGTTTGTACAAGTAATTTATTATTGAGTGTTACCTCGTTAAGCAATGGAACGAGCGACGGTATTAACGAAAGCGGACGGCCTCTGCCGTGTAGTGCTCTTAAGATGGCGTGTCGAGGGCCTATAATTCCAACGTACAATGCTTCGTGGTTGCACGGGTCACCTTCATTGACCTACTATGATAATTGTCTATGAACATATTCCTTCTTTTTTCACCAAGTAGGAACTCATCCATCTTCTGCTAAGCGTCGAACAGACATTTCGCTACTCGTGAATAGCATGCCTTGCGTTGGCCGTGAAAATACCAAGTCACGGGAATGCCCGTTGAATAAAACGCAAAATAATCTAGCATGTATTGGCAAATTTCCATTCGTTTTATGCTATCTTTTAGATTTCGTTTTAAAATCATTCTAGAGTAAAGCGAATATCTACACAAATTATAAAAAACATTATCTAGAAATTTCTCATTTTTTTTCCCAATATTTTTATCGAAATATTTTGGAAAAGAAATTAAAATATTCTTAAATACAAATCTATAATAAATTTATTATCTAAATTTTTAAATCTCTCTTTCATTTTTCTTACTTACGCGTTCATTATTAAAAGATTAAAAGTTATTTGTTCAAAATTAAAAAAGATATTAAAAAAAAGAACTTTAATAATATGAAATATTTTATAGATATATAGCATTTTTATTCTTTAATCTCTAAAAAATTAATTTCTAACAAAAATCTCTAATAAATACAAAGAAGAAAGAATGTAAATTAAAAGAAATTTTTTAAAGCAAAATAAATTTTATTTATAAATCTAATTAAAACTTATCACAATCTAAACTTTCAACAACAAAACAAAATAAAATTTTAATTAAAATTAGTAACGACAAGATTTCTTAAGAATATTCTAAGTTCTCCAGAAAAAATTTATATATATAT